TTCTTTCTTTCTTTCTTTCTTTCTTTCTTTCTTTCTATCACAACCACTTCTCACTCATCACTCACTGCTGATAAAGAATGAAATATTCATCTTTTTAAGAAGAACTTTTGCATAGATCATCTCAGAGCTTCTCGCTTCTCAGTTACATAAAGAACATTGTGTTCGCATTTGAGAAAATCTCTTCTTTTTCCCCATGAGGGACAGTTCTAAACAGGAATTACTATGCAGTGATGAATCTTAGATTGTAGTATGTTCCTTTTGTCAAAGCTAGAAGTTGAAGCAGTGGCAACGCTCCTGGTGACCCCTGTCCTTTCCTGAATGCCAGCAAAGAAAGTTTGTGAACCTAAAAAAAAATCAAGATGGGGAAAAGTATGCTAGTTAAGATATATGTAACTGCATGAAATAGTCTTAAGAAAGGAAATGATTATGCTGCATATTATGTTTATACAGGGGAATGGAAATCTGATTTTGCAGTAATGCAATTGTCTCTTACCATAAGCATCAATTTGATAACTTTAATGACCATCTATTTTTTCATCTATTTGAGCTAATCCAGTTAGGGAATAGAGCCCCATATTATATTTATGAAAACTGCCTCTGGTAACCTCCTGCACATGAGTTAGTTTCCAACACCTGAACATTTTCAGGAAACAGAATGAAGCTGGTTTAAAAACCTAGCTTGTTCATAAATTCTATGCATTATCCCCCCATGAAAAAATTTTAAAAAGCAGGAACAGCCACATTTCCTTGTTTAATTATTGTGCACCTCAGAGACCAGCAACATTTTGGGGTACATTTGGGACTCTGAGAAAGTCTCAGGGGCCCACTTTCAGACTTCTTCAGAGGGAGCGCAGTTACACAGTGGCCGCACCCACCCATCCATTCCCCTTGAAATAAAAATTGATTCTTCCCATCTGCATCTTTCCCAGTTAGAGTAAATTTTGTAATATCTTTCCACCACACCAGAGATGGAAAATCTCCATAAATGTTGAAGCCACAAAAATAAACTGGCTTTTCAGGGGGCGGGGGAGCCAGACATTTTGGGGGAATATTCATTTTTAGACCAAACCTTGCTATTTTAAGATGGTACAATGCCATATGTAGGATTTGTTTTACTTGTATGCTAATACAAGCATACAAGCATTTCGTATATTTAAGTAGGATTTAGTTAGAGACTAATTACATTTGCTAATTGAACTGAAATAAATATATTTTTAAAACTTTAATTTGACCCTCTTTTGTGCTGCTTCTACCAAATGAAGCCTTGTCGACAGCAGGTCCATTGGCCTCTAGGTAGAGATTCAGCCCCACACAGGCCTACAAACAAATGCAGCACTGAATCTTCCTTCATTCTTGGGGGGAGATGACTGGGGACCCCTCCCAACAGCCAAAACAGGTTCAATGTTTTCAATGTTCCCAGTTTCTACGGGGAAAAAGAAAGAGCTGGGGAAAGAAATATACTGGATAGATGATGCCATAGAAAATAGGAAGGTGTGATTTTGTCACAAGTGCCAAAAAGAATTCACCTTTAGATCAAGTAGTTGGTTTTTGTTGCATAGGGTTGATGTTACACTTGATATTTGGTTGAGTGCAATAAATATGAAAAGATATTGCCTGTGAGGTTAAATGGTTGAAATGTGTTTTTTTAGTCATAAGCCAGGGGAATCCTAAACCTCTAAGCTATTTTCTATGTAAATAAAGAAAATGAAACTCATTTGCTTAATTAAAAGACTCGCAGCCATAACCAAGAATCTGTTTTCCACAGTGCTTTGTGTTTGACATGGTTTGAAGGTGCTTTGAGACTTTCTCATCAGAAAACTTAAATCTAATTTGAGTGGAGGAAAATTCTCTTTTCCTAGAATTTTGAAGGAAAAAGTAAACTGTAAACATTCTTTATATGCTCAGCTGACTATCTAATTCACTACAAGATATAAAAGGTGCTAAACATTTTGGGAAAATGACGAAGTAATGCTATTGCGTAGGGGAAAAAGGACAAAATAAGTTTTCTGTTACTGATACGGAGAGCTTTTAAATAAAATTAATACATGAAAAAAGCCAAAATAGAAAGGAAAATTTTAATTTTAAGATGACATTTTCAATCCTGTGTTAAATTTTTGAAGGGAAAGGCTGTTTTTTTGTTAAATACTATTATATGGACAGTTGTCCTATAAAGGGACATGAATAGTCTTAAAGTATTGCTGTTAATAAAAATACTACAAATAAAATTGTATGATGAAGAGCAACTTGTGGCAACTGAAACAAAGTAAAAAAGAAAAAGAAAAAATGCTTTTTTATATTCTTGAAGGAAAGTTGTAAAATTGAAGTAGGGTTACCAAAAGTACCACCTTCACTCATCGGCAGCCATTGTGGGCATCAAAGGTATCATCAGATCCTTATATTGAGGCTTCTAGACAGTGGATGATTGGAGATAGGGAAGGTAATACTGCTCTTAGACTGAATTTTCCTGGGTTTGCTAGCAAACCAAAAATCATTATCATTGTAACCTCCTATGCATAGCACTGTTAGCGGCAAAAACCTGATAATGCTCAAATTACATTACTGGTAGAGTTGCAGAAGCTGAATAATAGAAGCTAATACCACAAGATAAAAATGTTGAGTGTGCCTTTTACTTATATTGCTTTATAATTAGGTAAACTTCTTTAAAAAAAATTCTGCTAGGATGTTCCATTAGCAAATTGATTATCTGAAGTCTGATCAACAAATTGCTTTTGAGTTCCTCCTCCAGTTCTAAGGTTTGTTGAAAAATAAAAATGCAAGAGGCAAGATGGAGTGCCACCTAAGACCGAAGTCATGCAGCATCAGGAATTCCCTCACAGTTCCTGACAGTTACCAACATCTGAATGCTATAGAAAAGACTGTGACATTTAAGCCGTAAACAATCAACAAAAGCATCTGAAATGCACTGCTAGTCTGCTACCTTCACTTGGCTAGTGCTTGAGTCTTCTTAATTCATACCAAGTTTATTGCTGCTCCTAGCTATAAAGAGCATAATAGGCAGCACTAGGTACTATAGCATCCATTCTATAATCTTTGCTGAGGCTGTCAATTTTGCTGCTAAGGCCCGGTTCTGCATCCAACCATTAGCTCAGAAATCAAACAATCTGCAGCCGTTCTTATCAAACACTGAGGTCTCTCTGCTCAGTGACACTAATTCCAGCAGGTGGTATCATGGAAGATCTATCAAAGATCCCTCTCATAGGATTAACCTTTTTCATGTGGGGCTTTTCAAGGCTTCCAGCACTGATTATCGATACTGCTCCTTCATTCATCACAACTTGATATAACATCCATGTTAGCAGGTACAGCAGTAGCAAAATCATTCCTTTCTACTCTACAGCCATCTATCCTTTCAGTTATAGACCTTAAGCAGTCACAGCATCTCTGAAGAATTCCCAACTGACTCTACATCTTCTGCCATCTTAGAAATTCCCATGGTTCATGGGGATGTGTTCTTCACAATTACATCTGAAGTTAAAAAATACTAAGTAAAAGTGAAAATACCACTCTGCTGCACTGGTCAGACCACACCTGGAATACTGTGTCCAGTTCTGGTCGCCGCAATACAAAAAAAGTGCTGAGGAACTGGAAAGAGTGTACAGAGCAACAAAGATGGTGAGAGGCTTGGAGGCTAAATCCTATGAAGCAATTATGTTTAGCTTAAAGAAGAGAAGGCTATGGGGAGACATGATAGTAGTCTTCCAGAACTTGAAGGGATGTCACAGGGAAGAGGGAGTAGATTTATTCTCCCTAGCACCTGAGGATAAGCAATGGGTAGAAGCTTTACAGTGAGAGATCCAAGCTTGGACTAAGGAGGAATTTCCTGACCATGAGAGCTATTAAGCAATGGAACCTCTCTCCTGAAGTTGTGGGTGCTCCATCCCTTCAAGAAAAGACTGGACAGCTGGTTGTCCAGAATGGGATGAGGATTCCTGCCCTGGGCAGGAGGTTGGACCAGAAGATGCCCAAGGCGCCTTCCAGCTCTAGGATTCTATGAAAGCATTATTTCAACTTCTTTTGCATCACTGTTTTTAAAGCTAGCTTCCGGAACAAAAAAACTAAGTTCAACCCTGAGCTACACATACTCGCTTCTATTGGAAACTAAGTTTCAGTTGTCAAAAACCAACTTTGCATGGAATGCACTTTTTCTTAAAACCTAGTCTGCCTTTCTACCAAGCAGAATTAGTTGGATGCTCTAGCACAGCGTTTCTCAACCTTGGCAACTTTAAGATGTGTGGACCAACTCCCAGAATTCCCCAGCCAGCATGCCAAGGTTGAGAAACACTGTTCTAGCACCACTGTCCCTTCCTAGTCAACATTTCAAGAATGATTTTGAAAAATGAGACTGCCTCTCCAATAATTTTTACCATCTCTGACCTCGATTAGCAAACAGACTCTGAAGAGGCATTCTTCTTCTCAAGCCATCACAGTTTTTCCTTCCAGGCAAATTGCATTATGTGTTAGCCACAAAGATGAGTTTTGTTTTGTATGAAATCAAATCAAGCAACATAAGTGCAGATTGCTGGAAGGTAGTTAAAAAAAATTGATATAAAAGTATGTGCTCTCTTAATGACTAAAAATAGAGGGTGTTTATTATGTTCAATGGCATACAAGGATTTTCATTTTAGAAAGGTTTTTTCCTAAGCTTTGAAATGCAACAAGGAAACATGTTCTCTTATACAGTGAAATGGCTGAAAAACAAAATATTTTTTTCTTAACATAACCAAGGAAACATTAAAAAAAATGCATTGAAGGAATATAGTTTATATCTTGATATATTCAGGGGAGAGATTTTGAAGTGCTTATTACTAAAATAGTGCAGATATAACCATGGCCAGGAAAACAAATGCAGAAATGGTGACACAAGTGGCGGAGTTACATTTGTCTTGTTTTAGCTATTAAATATATAAATCACATCCTTTGTTTGATAGGTGTTATGTAGCAAAAAGTTCAGAAAACAAAAGAATGCAAGAGCACCACCTGTACCAAATGAAAAATAGGCAATAAAATAATAAAGATAATAAAATAAAGCATAAAAAAACAAGAATTCAGAGTTGTATTTACTGTCTGAAGTGAAGTAAGGAAGGGATATATATATTGCCCAATTCCACATTTGGGGAAGCCTAATAAAACGTCTCTCTTGGGTATACTCCAACTATCTGTTTAGATGAACGGAATACAATATTGAGTTCCAATAGTGGTTCTGAATTATAGGCAGAATCATATGGATTCAGATAATCTGGCCACAGTACATTTGGGGCACAAGTAGGCAATTTTGATGTTGACCTAGAGTTCTTAAACCAGAGTTCACAACCTAGTTCCCTGCAGATGTTTTGGATCAAAACTCCCATAAGCTTCAATCAGCATAGCAAATGATTAGGGATTTGGGGTCCAAAATGTCTGGACAGCATAAAGTTTAACAGACTGTAGATCAAAATCAAAGTGTTGGACGGTACCAGGGGCAAACCAGAAACTGGAAAAGTTGCTGGGGGGATTATTTTCAAATGGGCTTTGCGGAATGCAGCTGCTTCATTTTGTAGTTCCCAGTCTTGACGTTTGAGTTCTTGCTACAACTAATGAAATAATTAATTTGGTCACTATTGCTTGCTTCCTTTGTTTAATTACTTTCCAATAATCGTCTTCACTTTTGCTTCCTTTAGACTGTTTGAAGGGCGCTCACCAAGAAAGCCTGAGAAACTGAAAACCCTTTTCTGCTACTTCCGAAGAGTCACAGAAAAAAGTAAACTTTTCTTGTCAATCTCATAGTCTTCCTCTGCATTAATCTCGTAGTCTTCTACCCATGGGAATATAGCTCTTAACTATCCAGTGAATAATTTGCAGATGGTGGTGAATTGTGAATGTAAGCCATTCAGCTTTAGGATCTCTTCTGGTTGTGTTTTTGGTGTGTACTTTGGGCAGCTTCTTTCATTGCTCTTCAAAGATCACTTTTAGGTTATGTTACACAGGCACACACCTGTCTGTCTCTCTGTCTCTCTGTGTGAAGAGTGAATGGTGTAGTTTGTATTGTTAGGACTGAGTGGGTGTGAAGGGAGGGGGCAAAAATCTTTTGTTTGATTTTCCATCATTCCCCTACTTCCCTTCTTAACTCTCCACTTACAGTGGGGCAAAACAGTATTTAGTCAGCCACCAATTGTGCAGGTTCTCCCACTTAAAAAGATGAGAGAGGCCTGTAATTTTCATCATAGGTATACCTCAACTATGAGAGACAAAATGGGGAAAAAAATCCAGAAAATCTTTAGTCAGCCACCAATTGTGCACGTTCTCCCACTTAAAAAGATGAGAGAGGCCTGTAATTTTCATCATAGGTATACCTCAACTATGAGAGACAAAATGGGGAAAAAAATCCAGAAAATCTTTAGTCAGCCACCAATTGTGCACGTTCTCCCACTTAAAAAGATGAGAGAGGCCTGTAATTTTCATCATAGGTATACCTCAACTATGAGAGACAAAATGGGGAAAAAAATCCAGAAAATCTTTAGTCAGCCACCAATTGTGCACGTTCTCCCACTTAAAAAGATGAGAGAGGCCTGTAATTTTCATCATAGGTATACCTCAACTATGAGAGACAAAATGGGGAAAAAAATCCAGAAAATCTTTAGTCAGCCACCAATTGTGCACGTTCTCCCACTTAAAAAGATGAGAGAGGCCTGTAATTTTCATCATAGGTATACCTCAACTATGAGAGACAAAATGGGGAAAAAAATCCAGAAAATCTTTAGTCAGCCACCAATTGTGCACGTTCTCCCACTTAAAAAGATGAGAGAGGCCTGTAATTTTCATCATAGGTATACCTCAACTATGAGAGACAAAATGGGGAAAAAAATCCAGAAAATCTTTAGTCAGCCACCAATTGTGCACGTTCTCCCACTTAAAAAGATGAGAGAGGCCTGTAATTTTCATCATAGGTATACCTCAACTATGAGAGACAAAATGGGGAAAAAAATCCAGAAAATCATGAAAATTACAGGCCTCTCTCATCTTTTTAAGTGGGAGAACGTGCACAATTGGTGGCTGACTAAATACTTTTTTGCCCCACTGTATCTGCCCAGCCCTCAGGGACCTCTGGAAATTATCATTAAAGGGCAATATTTAATACCTCATGGTCTAAATCAGTGTTTTACAAACTTGGCAACTTTAAGCTATATAGACCTCAACTCCTAGAGTTGAAGTCCACACATCTTAAAGTTACCATGTTTGAAAAGCACTGGTCTTAAATCATCTGAGAATATCACAGTAGCCAAGTAATCTGGTTCAGTTTAATCTAGTTCACTTTACTGCCAGTAACAGCAGCATCATATATCTTGCTATACTGTTGGTGTTTGGATGATCCCGAGGCAGGATCTTAATATCTTGCCTTTTTAATATTAGCTTTTAGTAACTCTTGGGAATCACTAAATAATTAGGTTGTGTCATCTGTATAAGAAGATAAAATTTCACTTTCCTCATTTAATAAATGAATTAGAATAGTGTCTTCATCCCTCCTAGAAATTAAAATAAATTGCATCATATTTCCAAATTTTATATTACAAACAGGGAGGAAGCTGTTTATAATATTATCCCATTTGCTGAAAATCAAAAGCTTTGCTTTTAGAAGGTGAATAGCTTTATTTGGGTAACATTAGCTCATAATAGGATAGTCGTTTTGTGGTAAAACGGAAGATTAATGCAAATATCGCTGTTGGGAACAAGGCTTCTGGCAAACTTCTTGAATCCCTTGTAGCTTCTGCTAGATTAATAAGACTCTTAAATACTTTCCATAGAGAATTTTTCAGGGATATTGCATTTCTACTTCCTTTATGTATTAGTTTAGCAAATCCATCAGCCGAATCATTGCAAAACACAAGAGATGAGGCATTTCCATGAGAATAAAATAAACTTGATTATATGGTTCCTCCTGTACATGTTTACCCAGAAAGCTTTCTGTATCCAGCTGTGATTTCTCTCAGAGATGCATATGTAGAATTGCAACCTAATTATTACTTCACGTCCAAGTAGTGGCTCCATAAATGAAGATTTATTTGCCAGGGGAAGTGAATTCTTTCTAGCTGCCATTCTCCATCTCTGTTCCCCAAAATCTCTTCCGGATTTCCAGACTAGACGAGTATGTTTTGCTGACCTGTCTCCCCTATGATTTTTTAAAGTGAATAATATTTATCTGTTTCGGTCTGCTTGCTTGCTAGAACCCACTGGACTTGTGACATTTACCAGACAGTGTTTGCAGGAATTTCCAGAATGGGAAAGGTAAGTCAAATAAAACCTATTCCTTTTTTATTCATTTCAATGTATTATAATGAAAAAGCAGCCAAAACTAATACTATTCAGTACAAAATATAAATTAAAACATAGGTAACGTATCTCAATAAACAGTAACCACCATTACTACAAGTTGAAACCCTAACATCTTGTTGCATAATCTGTAAGCAAGGTAGCAACATTTCCCAACCTGAAGTGTTATTTCTTGGTTGATATCAGCCAGGAGCAAAGAAACATAAAACGAAGCACATCTACCTGAATAACTTAAAAGAATCAGCATAACAAGTGATAAACACCCATGGTCCTAATGTTGGGGGTATATTCGGACATGGCCAACTGATTCCACCTGTCCAGAACCACATGGGCAAAGCCACTGAGAGAAAAGAATGCCCTGTGAAAGTGGTGAGGGCATCGCATTTAGGCGTGCTAGCGTGAATGCCCTCCTCACTTTGGCCTGATGAAGACCACATCAGTGGTTTGCCAACATATCTCTAAACGGCCAATGATTAGTGAACTAAAATCTATTTTGAAGTGGTTTATTTCAGAGGAGGGCAGTTTTACCCAAATCCCAATAACTTTTTCTATGTCAAGACTTCAGTGGAGTTTCATGTCAAATTTAAAACTCAGTTGACAAAGTAATCTAAGTAGGAAGGGATGTTTCATTTATTTAAAAAGGGTACAGAAACCCTATTGTTCTTATATATCCATAGGCCACGGGCATAACATTTTTGCTAATATGATCCTGAAAGTTAATGTATCATATTCAGAAACGTTGGGTAGCTTCAGTCTTCCTAAATATATGCAATTCAGTGAGAGTGAAGGCCACAGAACAATCTCTTTCATTGTAAAAATGGAATGAATGGTCCATGCCAGTTCAGTTGACTAGGAATGGTTGAGATTTTCAAAACAGGCTGTGCTTTGTAACATCAGTCAGAAGTTTAATTCCCTTCCGTTTCTGAACAACCATGGCTTCAGCTTAGGAAATCACACAAGTTTCTGCTATGGAACTATAGATGTGTTTTAATTAATTAGAGTAAAGTACCCTTTGCGGCAAAAGGCAGAAAAATGGAGATTGTGCTTGTGAGTATAAATGCTTTCAGCTTCTGGTTTGGCTTGCCTAAGATGACAGATGAATATTTGCTACCAAACAACAGAATGAGAAATGTTATAGTGCATTGTGCAAATGGCAAGGAAGAAATTTTGCAGCCCAGCCATTTTTCAGCTCGGGTTAGAACTTGATAAATGGATGCCCATGTCCTAAAGGGCAGATAGGAGATTCCAATCCAAGAGTAATTTCTTAGTCAGGCTGAGTATTGTCACTGCTGTCCCTTGATGCTCCTCGCTCTCCTTTTCTCCTTTTAGAAGAGATGGGTTTCTTGAAGAGAATGATGCCGTGGTTCATTTATCAAGAACATTTCTTTGTTTTTGCAAAAGACATTCCACCTATATCACAGTTGAGAAGTTAAATTGTGAATATTAGCATTTCATTTGCAGCAGAACCCAGTTTCAAAATGCTAGATTAATTCCAAAATACATTATTCTTAAACAGAGAAGTGTCATCATATTTGGATACATTTTGCTGTTCTCCTTTTGAAAGCTTTCAATGTAAAGACTTGAAAAGAAGAATGAAAAAGCTAGAAAAAAAATGTTGCTTGTTTTTTATTTGGATCCAACAATCTTTCTTTGTCATTCTCCTGGAGAAGCAATTCTGAAGCCCTGAAGGCAGGGGATCCACCAGAACCAAAGGGCAATTGATGAGAGGGGTCTGGAGCAGGAAAGCGGGAAGGGGGAAACTTGACCAAGTACTCCATTTGCTGAAGTACCATTCATTTCCGTTCCCTAGGATCCACGCCTGTTGTGCGTCCGTTTACATTTCCATTCACCTTCGTTAAGATCACATGTAAATGAACCAGTGCTCTCATCTAAATGCTTAACCTCGTCAAAATGCTACTATCTTATAACACGCTTTCAGCATAGCTTAGTAATAATTGGATGGTAATATGCTTCCCATTAATCTGAATGAGCCTAAGCCATCATGGGAATTAAAAGGGACACAGTTCAGTTATTGTTTGTGTTTTCTGGAAGTGATTAGATTTGCTGACGTGCTCCAGTTTTATGCAAAAATACTCTACAGAGGCTATTCATTTATTCTGTTGGCCTCCAGATCTTCTTCTAGTGGGTGCCAAACGAAATGTTTTAGAGGCAGGAAATAGCTGGATAACTAAAGTGATCCAGCTTAATTTAAGCTGTCCGCGGGTCAGATAAATTTCTCTGTAAAATTATAAAAGATATCCTTAGTACCACATTTACACAGAATATGAAGATGCTCTCATGTTCATATAAAATGAGTGCTAAAGCAAAAGAAGTATTATAATAAAAACGTTAGTGTTTTTGTAGGTTAGGACGGTCCACGTAATTATTTTTATTTTTAAAGAAGAAAAGCAACGCTATTTTGCATGAAAACCCCAAAGCACCCTGTTTGAGTAGAAATAGGTACAGCCACCTGGATCTTAAAGTTCCAACAATACGAAGTCTTCAGTTTGCCGTCCTGAAGAATGGTACTGAAGACGGATGGTGGATCTGCTTTTTATGGCTGTTATTTTTGCAAATCAGGGGATGGGGCTTTATAAAGCTCCAGCTGAGGGTGCAGCTGGTAATAAACTTGTCTTCTTATAATCTGTAAATGACACTTTTTATTTCACCAGCATTTAATGAAAGATAATAAAGTCCCTGCAGTATGATTCACAAATCTACGATGTAGCTAGCGCAACAGGGTGTTGTACCAACTGGAGCCTCCTGAGACTCCTTCATATCCATTTCAAGCTGACAGGTTGCATTAAGAACAATGTTTACGATCCAACTTTGGGAAAAAAAAAAAAAAACTCAGCATGATCTGTGTATTAAATCTGCAAGAGGTACAGCCTGTCTTCTGCACAGACTTCCTGCCACAGCTGCGAGCTTTTTGACTTTCACCAGACTGAATGGCAGCAGGTGCTTTATTAATGGATACAGAGCATGTTAAACTTATTACCAAAAAATGTTGCTTTTGTGTGCTTATCTACAGATCTCAGAAAAAAATGCCCAGATTGCACGTCACCTATGAAGGGACCATTGAGAGCAATGGGCAGGGGATGCTACAGGTAAGAATAGAATCTACACTTCAGTTTGTGCCCGGGCAGCCAGGTCTGCCCTCGGCTGTGTGAAAGCCGCAACCTCTCACATAGCATCACAGCCACAGCAGAATGGATGGCTCTGGCGACGTTCGCGTTATCTATTGGCTCAGCTTCCCGTCTGGAAAAACCTTTTGATTGACGATCGTAAGACCTAGAGGGAGCTTTGTTTTTCAGGTCAGGCAAAGATGGACAAGTGTCAGGAGAGGGGGTGCCAGGGTACGGAAGTGACAGCTGCCAATTTTTCAGGTTCTGCCCTTTAAAAAAAAAATAAGCTTGAGAGCCGTGTTTCTGTGCCCTGTCTGGTGACCAGCTCAGCGAGTTCAGAAAGCTTTATCTGCTGTGGGTGGAATTGTTTTGACCTGAAAGCCAGTCAGCCAGAACAGTCTGGTAAGGAGTCTGTCTCATCCATAATCCTTAGGTATTGTTTGTGTGTTTGAAAGCAAGGGAGAGAAGGATTTTGAAGTGCATGAAGTACTGTGACCTACACCTGTTTTGCTCACATGCTGCTTGTTGCCTTTTGGGTTCTTCAGCTTCATCACGCAAATCTACTTCAAACCCAAATAAACGAGTGCCCCAGATGCCCCTTTCTTTTCCTTAAGCAAAGAAAATGTTGCTTATGATCATCCTCCCCAGAGCCAGCACGGTTAGTGGTGAAGATGCTGGACTCAGACTGGGGAAGTCCAAGTTCAAGGTGGCCTTTAGCCATAGAAACTCACTACAGACCAGTCGCCACCTCTCTCTCGGTACAAGCCGGTGTTTCTCAACCCTGGCAACTTTTAAGATGTGTGGACTTCGTCTTCCAGAATTCAGGGAGGCGAAGTCCACGTTTGTCAAAGATGCCAAGGTTGAGAAACAGTGGTCCAAGCAACCTCACAGAATGATTGCTGTGGGGATCATGTGTGGGTCTTCTTCACAAGAGCCAACTTGAATCCTGGAGAAAAGGCAGGACACACATGTAACCTATAACAATACACAAGCACCTTAAATAAAGTTTGGGTACCATTAAAAATGATTCCCCTGTACAAGTCCCATGCATTTACATTTGTTTTTAAATATTTATCTTTTAGTGGTGTTTTTAGATTTGTTGCTGTTGTTGTCGTCATACATGTTTTATAAATAGAAAGAATAGTAAGTCAGTAGTTGAGGGCATTTGTGATGTTGGGTCCTAGGGTAGGAGTGTGGAAACAACCACTCTGTGTTTAAGAAGATCATGCATCACATAGCCTGAAGTTAGAGAAGCAACTGAAATTCATCACATAAGGGAATGATGAAATTTGTCTCCTGTGCAGCCTCAAGAAAATATGCTAGTTTCTCCAGATTGGAGAATATGCATAAACATATTTACAGTATTGTTAATCTAGTGCCAGGAACTAGCTGTTTTTAGCTACCACTTAGCTAAATTGGTTCATTGACATATCACAAATTTGATTAGGTGGACCAGAACTCAGAAAATGGCCAGCCTTTTGTGCTTAGACAACACTTTTTATCTTGAGTTTAATTTTGATTAGAGTCTTTGGGCACTACTACAGGGTACAGAATAAATGTAGTTAATAGTAGTACATGTATATGCTGTTGACGGCTGACCTGCTGTCCTGCTCAATAATGGCTAAACTTTAAGAGAGGGGGGAAGATCTTTGGAGCGGGATGCTGTTAAAACATTTTGCCGTGTTTGCTGGTTCTTCAGGGGTCTTTAGCTGTTCATGTTTCATGCCTTAGTCCAGTGTTGTCCCCACCCCCGTCCCACCTTAAAAAAGAGGACTAATCCCCCCCAACACCCCCTCCCCCCCCACCACCGCGGGCAGTTGATGGGTGTG